AGAATAGAAAGTATCCCCCTCGCTGTTGCTACTTCCTCGCCTAGTTGAAGAAAAATTTGCATCACCACAGCATACATGCACATTCTTTTATATTTGGTCGTTTGGTTTATTTGTTGTTCAATTTCTCACCAACCAAACGTTCGCTGTTGTTATCCCCCTTCACGTTTCAAAGGTTGAGCCCTTTAACGAGAATTGTTTGTTTCTATTTAGCAATAACAACACACTTGTAATAACAGTGCATCCATCTGTCGATTGGTTACTTTATCGTCGTCACTAACGCGCATTTATTGTTGTTGCAATTCTTCTTCGTATGTTTCTGTCAATTCTCACTTGAGAATTTGCATTGTCAAAAATTGCAACAAAAATACTTCATCATTGCACGCGCCCTTTGTAGCGTCGGTTTGACATACAGTAAAATTAACAACAAATTGTTTTGATCTCCAACTCTCACTGTTGGATCGTTTGTGACGTCGCTTGTTGTGTGGGTGCGTAGCTGCTTACGCATAGTAATTTCTCTGCCGACGTCGCTTGTGTTTTATTCCTCTTTGTGCGATATCCGTTGTTGGTTCGGCACAGTGGGATAAAACAGCACAAATTGTGAATTTTTGTAATTTATTTTAGAAATTATTTTTCGATAATTTTCTGAAATATTTTTGATTAGTAGTAGGGTTTTGGAATTTTTGGACAAATTCACCCTACCTTCGGCATTCTTTATAGGCATATTAACCAACATATATTGGAGAAAATTAAAAGTTTTTTCTTGCTAGATTTGGAAAATTTGTAAATATAATTTAACATTTGGCTGAACATTTGCAACCTAGTAGGGTTTTTGGAATTTTTGGACAAATTCACCCTACTTTCGGCATTCATTGCACACATTTTAGCAACATATATTCGTTGAAACTTATCGTTTTGTGGCTTTTCTGAAAATTGTTTAGGCAATTTGGTAATAGTTGTTGGTACTATTTGTTAATCTCTATAGGGTTTGGTTGCTTTTTGGAAGAATAAACCCTATTTTCTGCTTAAACTTAAAAAAAATAACAAATTTAGCATTAAATATTTCAAAGAGTTACTCTATTTCAAACGACACGTGTTAAACCTTTGTACAAATCTTTGTCGCGCAGTTGGTAACATTTTTTGGAAATCTGTCATAAGTTGGCATTACTAAATCAACTATTTTTCTAATTTTATATTGAATCCATTTTAGTAGAAACTTAAGACTAATTTTTAATTACAAGTAGTTCTATCATCTTGGAAAAGTTTCTCTCCACATTTCTGCTTTTTAGATCTACTTTAATTCAAAAATTTCTTCACCCAGCAGATTTTCTGCCGCAGCTTTGGAGCTTTTGTGAATTATCGCAAAATACGTTTTCGTGGGCATTCTAATTTCCTTTGAGAGGTAGCCGTCCTTGTTCGAAATTCAAATTTTTTTTGTTCCAAATTCTGTTGTTGTTAGCCAGCTTTCTTTTAAAATTCGCTTTAAAATGCCGATCACTCCCCTTACACGTTTCATGAGAGCCGCTGACATTGTTCTTAAAAGCGTTGCACATTTCGAACAAATAGAAGAATCAACACTCACAATATTCAATCTGAAGATTCGCAATACAGAGATTAAAGAATTGTGGGATAAGGTTTTGTGCACTTATGATGAGTGCAAAGTCTACCTTAAGACATCTGAGAGTGCACAGGCTAATAGTATTGATGCCGTTGAGGGAAAATATAGCACGACTTGCCTTGGATATCTTCGGTGTTTATCCACCATTAACAGGCATCTTGATCGACTCAATTCATCTACAAATGAAAATGGCTCTCCTACTACAGCTTCTCGGTTCTCACATCCTCCTGAACATTCACGTGCGCTTTCCATTAATTTGTCTCACAATTCTAATATAACACCATCTTCAGGATTTCCGTCAAAGGAATCTATTTTGCCGGTGTCTGTGCAGAACACTACTCCACCCGTTCATGGTTCCGTCGAATCTTCTGACAATAACAGTTGCTCCAATTCGCCTTTCGATAATCATTGTTTCATGTTGCCACCTGTTGATATCGCAGTCTTTGCTGGTGATTTTGTGTCTTGGCCCACCTTTCGTGATTTGTTCACCACACTATTTATAAAGAATGTTCGTCTTTCAGATATTGAACGTCTCTGTCATCTTAGGCAGAAGACCACCGGTGAGGCTCGAGAAATCGTTTCTAGAATTCCACTCACCAATAATAGTTTCCATTCCACGTCGCCACGGATCAGTGGGATCCAATCATTGTATATATTTGTTTGCAGCGTTTGCCTTTTACCACCTTGGCTTTGTGGGAGCAAAGCATCAAAAATAAGTCGTTGTTGCCTTCTTGGCCAGATTTAGATGCTTTCCTTATAGAGAGAATACAAACTTTGCAGTGTATTCAGAGCATACACAAAAATCCGCCCACCGAAAAGTCAAAAATAGTCACTTCTCCTATTCTCTCGAATAAATCATTGTTATCAAAGAATGGTACTCCTTCCAGACCTGTGAAGAAACCGTCGTCATCAAAGAGTGTTTCACCTCATCGCCCCTCCTCTAGATCGTTGGCATCCAAGCATGTTTCTTCATCTAGTTCCGTCATTAAAAAGTCGTTGGTACATGAACCAAAATGTGTTGATCCTTCTCCTCGGCCAAACACTTATTGCCCCATTTGTCCTAACCAGAGACATGTATTGCATCTCTGCCCCAAGTTTATTAAACTATCGTTTGAGGACAAATTCTCGATTGTTAAGAAGAATAAGTGTTGCATAAACTGTCTTTCACGTGGTCATGCAGTAAAAAACTGTCGCAGTACCAATAGTTGCAAATCTTGCAAGCAAAGGCATCACAGCCTTCTTCACCGGCCACTTTCTACTATAGTTGTTGCAACATCACGCTCAAAACCATCTCTGGTTTCTAATAATTTTAAAAGTCGAAAATCCTCGCTGTTCTGCAAGTCTGCTCAAAATCTGGTTTTGAATTCTAAGAAATTACCTCCGGCCTTTACGAATGTCAAAAGTCGAGGTTCAAAGACCCCTCCGGCTTTTACGAAGGTCAAAAGCCGAGGTCCAAAGTCCTCTAAAACGCACCCACTCTCTGCAAAAAATAATTCGAATGACCAGTCTCCCAACACCATTGAAGATCACGTGCTCTTGGGAACTGCAGTAGTAAGTATTGTTCACAATGGGAAAAGTTATACTGCTCGTGCTATAATAGACCCTTCTTCAAAGGCATCTATTATAAGTAAGAAACTTAACAATGCACTTGGTATTTCACTTGTTCTTTGACAAACAAATCTAAATCTACATCGCGGAGAGAAGTCTGTTCTCTTAAGTTGTCTTCCCCTAGAAACGCATCTAGAATTGTGGAAACAAAAGCGTTAATCTTGCCTAAGGTCAAAGGAAAGTTGTTCTCGTCACCATATACTTGTAATTTAAAGACTCGAATTCCTGATCTTGAATTAGCGGATTCTTTCGATGACAGCCCAATAGATTTGCTACTTGGCGCTGACCTATACCCTAAGATTATTGAAGCTGAACCGCCTAAAATTGTTTTAGATTCGTTACTGGCCCAAAAATCAATTTTCGGGTATATCCTCACCGGTTCAGTACCTCCCGCGACTGTAACATAATCTCACACCAAAAATTGAAGTCGACCATTTCTTAAAATAATGTATATCGCTTAAAATTTAAAAATATCACATGCACTAAACATTGAAATTGTAAAACTGAATTAAATCGTTCGGGTCATAATTTGAAAATCTGCAACTATAGCTCACTTAGGAATCTGAATTTACGTTCTCTCCTAACTTAATATAACATTATTTAGATTGCTAGACTCTTAGTTCTAGCAAGGGGGCCGGAATGTATAAGTTCGATACGTTCCACCACAACTTTCCAATACTCGTCAATCACGGATGCTGATTTGCACACTGGCATCTCCTCTACAATTCCCTTGGCGGATACCGTAGTGTGCGGATCGCCGCTGGGTATTGGTTGGCGGTAGGCTCACCTTGCTCTCATTGGAAGTAGTTGTAGTTGTAATAATACACAGACATGGGACCCTCAGCGGTCACTCAGAACCTCTGCGTTCACTTGTCTGTATTTGCATATGTATTAGAAATAGACAAGGGATCCTCTGCGATCACTTAGAACCTCTGCGTTCACTTGTCTTTGAGAAACGAAAGCGAAAGCACACAGGCCTCTGTCGCCACACCAATTACTTAAGGTAATTTGTCTTTGAAAAGAGAGAACACCAATAAAGCCATGAATTAATTAATAATAATACTAATTCAACTGTGTTTTATTTCTCGTTATTTTCTTTCTTTTTACTTAAACCACACGCGCGAATCATCCTCATCTCTCACCTACACATCACATCTCATCATAATAACTCTGGGGAGTTTTGTTGTTACTGCCGCTGTCGAAGCCATTCTCCCCACTCCCCTGAGCTAAACACAACGTTTCGTAACTTTTTGATGAGTTCATCGGGGGATTTCGTCTACTTAAATAAAATAAATGTAACAGTTTACATTATGGTCAATATTACAATAATTGTAAACATACTCTTGACTTACACTATTATTCCAGACGTGCTTACATAGATTTTACACTAAAATAACATAAAAAGACAATAAACAACGACTTAAAATCTAGTATCATATATATGTTTACGTTATTGCCCTCAATAGCTTGCACTAACATTATCGGTGTCCTCTATTAAGTTCATCGTTGCGTCAATTTGTTATTGTATTCTTCTTTGTTGTTGCATTCTATAAAAGCACATCCTTTCTTATAAATGTAGAAATAATTTCTATATTAATATGGAAATAACTGCAAGCATAACATGTTTGAAGAAATATATAATTTTGTGATAATCAGTTTTTGATATGTTGGTATCAGTCATCGATATAATGAAAATTTTTAATAAGCTATTACATTTTTTGAAATACCGCCAGAAAATTAAAATAAACTTATTTTTTTGAACTTTAAATCTTTTCAGATTATACACAGGGATTTAGCAGCGAGAAATATACTTATAACTGATAATCACATATGCAAAGTAGCAGATTTTGGATTTGCGAGAGATGTAATCACTTCCAAAGTTTATGAACGAAAGAGTGAAGGGAAATTGCCCATAAGGTATGTATAACTGTCCCCTGACGTGGAACCGGATTTTGTTTCGGCAGCTGTATAATAACCATTTTTTTCACATTGTCATAATTGGGATCCACTCCAAAAATGTCTTCGAATTCTTGCAGTGAAGCACCGATTGTATTTCCTTTGTTGTCCTCTGTTGCTTCGCTTTTAGCGCATTGACTTCAAATTTTCTGTTTTGCTGCCCCTTCCAGATGTACTTGTACTTGTTTTTCTAAGTCACGCCGTTGCTTTCCAGACTCTTCTTCCAGTCGGTCACTTTCAAATTTAGAGAGCAAGGACAGCACCAAATCTGCTAGCCCCAGTTTTGTATCATTGACTGTTTTCAGGCAATCTTCTAATATTTTGATTCGGCCAATTGTGATGCAATATTAAGCCTTTCTTCTTCCTTGGTTTCATTATTTTTGGTGTGAGCTCTAACTTTTTCCTCCGAGTAAGGTTAGGTTAGGTTGAAAAGACGGGCGAAGCAATTCGCCGCATGCCCTGTTGGGCCTACACCTACGCCAGTATAGGCCTGTTGTGCGCTTTAGACTAAGGTTTATTTTGAAGAAGCTGTTAACATTCTGTTATATTTGAATATCAGTTGCCTTTATTAAATTCTTAACTGTCTTATATAATTTACCATGGTCTGATTAAGGTCTCGTATGGAGTCGTTCCCTAACAATTGAAATCTGATATTTGCAAACGATGGACATTGGCAGAGAAAATGATCCAATGTATCGTCATCTTTCCCACATGCCCTGCATATGTAGTTATCTGCACATCCTATCTTGTACAAATGAGCTTGTAGGCCCAGGTGCCCCGTAAGGATGCCTGTTACCTTACTGGTCTCTTTTTTACCTGGTAATAAAAGGTTCCACGTTTTTATCTCATCGGGATCACCCCATAAGATTTTTGAGGTTTTCCCTACACCATCTTTGTTCCATAGGGATGTGTGGGCGTTTTTCCCCATGTCTTTAACACTAGACGTGAACCATTTTGCGGCACTAGATTGTCTACGTTTATTGTTGCTAATTCCCTGCCTGTTTTGGCGGGAGAGTTTGCTATCTCGTTACCCCTAACTCCCGTATGACCTGGTACCCATATAATGCGTACTACGCCGTGTTGACAGTAGTTGTTGATTGAATTTATACAGTTTATAACAGTTTTTGAAGTTACTGTTTTGGATGTTATAGCCCTTATAGCTGTCCGTGTCCAGTTCAGACACTCTGCAATCGCGCGGACCTCCGTATCGTATTGTGATCGGGTAAGACGAAAGAGATTTCGGTGTTTGTATCCTCGATAAAAAGTCCCAGTCCCGTTCTCTCCCCTAGCACTGAGCCGTCTGTATAACAACAGATGACTCTCCCGTTGTTACCTGTAAAATTGTTTGAAATCGCCCTGAGCTTCATACCGTATCCGAATTTTTATTGGGTGCACAAATAGAATTGTCTCTAATGCCCTAGTTGGTGTTGTCCTCATTGCGTCGCAGATGATTAAGCAATACATTTGTTGGACTTTCTGTAGTATTTTGATATTACATTTTTTATCCATAGCTGTCCACCAGACTACCGATACGTATGTTAGAACAGGTCTAATTTCGCTTTTGAATAGCCAGTGTGTCATCTTTGGATTGAAACCCCATATAGAGCCAATAGACCTTTTACATCTTGCCCAACATTTATGAGCTTTGCTCTTTCTTGGATTCAGAAGCCCTAAGGTCTCTTTCCTCCGAGTTAGGACTTGCCTGCGCGAACATATCCTCAAAGTTGCGAGCGGCAAAAAACAGTCACATTCGAAGTAATGTGGATAGAATAGCCAATATCTTCTAGCCATTTCGGGAGTCTCTCGATCACCATCACAATATTCCGCTTCATCTAAAGGGCATGTAATTTTACCCTTTGCATTTTTTCCACAACTGGTTGTCTGATTGGTTGTCAGCCCGAAGATAGGAAAGATAATTTTTGTACACTCCTAGCTTCCAGTGCAACTTCCTCTGGACTAAAGAAATAGTAACCACGTTCAAAGATCCAGCCTTCTGGTGCTTCTAAACATTCTTCAATTTCTATCTTACAGACCCGTGTTCTCACCGCAAAAAAATTATGCGCTAACACAAGGCATTTACCCACTGCTATTGGACATTCTTGGATTCTCTCAGAAACGTTCTTTTTAAATTTTTGAACTTTTGTTGTAGAATGTAATATGTGTCTTCAACGAGAATCTTGTAATTATTCACGTTACTTTTTTTATTGGATTGCTGATGCAAATGTTGTGCAGAAATAATCTTCCAGGACTAAGAAACTTGCTTCTTGAACCAAATTTTTTGTCGGAGGTGCTTTTAAATTTTATCAATTGTCACATGTGGATATTCTTTTTTCAAAATAATATATGTATTTTATTTATTTTATTTCGGGCTTTTGTTGTGCCCTTTGTTAATTTAATTCCTTTGTGTCTTCTTGTTGTTCTGCCAATGTGGCTTTTTTATTTTTGCCTCTATAGATTTTTGTTGTTAAAATGTCCCTATGGTCTTACATTTAAAATGCCTCAACACACCTAGTTTTTCTAGTAGTTTTCCTCTTTTTTAAAAAATAGTTAGATTTATTTTTCATGAGTCTTCTACTATTTATTTTGTGTGGTCGTTAATTCTTTCGCTTAAACTAAGTGTAGGCTCGATGAACCAAACGTAGATGTGAGAAAGGAAAATAACGGCTCTGTTAGGTTGTAAATTTAATTCTCTATCCGATTCGAAGGACCAAATGTAACAGATGAGAAACGAAAGCAACCTTAAGGTTCAATTATTGATTCGATTCTAGTTTTATATTCAAAATATTTGCCTTAAATACTACTAATACTAATCTAACTTAACCTAATCACAGCCACGAAATTGTTCATATTTATTATGGAAAACATTGCATAGGTGCTTGTCCCTTCATTCAAGTGGTCTTGGCTATCCACTGTACGAATCGATCTTACAAATGATCGGATGCAACCGCGCACAAGCTCACTGAATTGTACACATGTCATATTTTATCGTGCCTGGGAAACTGATAATTTTGGAACCTTTATTTTTCTAGCCTCCACCTTGTAACATCCCTAAATATTCGTCGTAGACCCCATAAAGTATATATATTCATAATCAGCATAAATTTCTAAGTCGATTTAACGATGTCTGTCTGTCTATTGCAGTCACGACAAAGCCCACATTATTTGACGTAGAGCGTTTAAATTTAGCAGTACAATTTGTATTGTGTCTAGGATGGTTAGTATTGAAAATTATATGTCGGTCCACGTTTTGGTATAGTCCCCATATAACGGTACCTCCCGATATTTGGTATTTTGATGAATTTTGCCACATTTTTCACGGATTTGTCTGAAAATTGGTATTTGTTGGTCATAATGGGTTCTGGCTTCGGTGGTGAAATATTGTATGTATGGGTCCACGCTTTGATATACTCCCATATAACGGAACCTCCCAATTTTTGGTATTTTAATGATTTTTGCCAATTTTTTTACAGATTTTGTCTAAAAATTGGTATTTGTGGGTCATAATTATTTCTAGTTCCGGTGGGGAAACATTGCATGTATAGGTCCACGTTTTGGTATAGCTCCCATATTACAGAACCTCCTGATATTCCGCATTTTGATGTGTTTTTTTTTCGCGGATTTGTCTTAAAAGTGGCATATGTTGGTCATAATGGGTACTGACTGCGGTGGCGAAACATTGTATGTGTAGGCCCACGTTTTGTTGTAGCTCCCATACAACGGTAGCTCCAGATATTCATTATTTTGATGATTTCTGCCACATTTTCCAACGAATATGTCTAAAAATTGGTATTTGTGGGTTCTCATGTTTCCTTTGCCCTACTTAATGTATTTTTACTTGTTTTATTTTTAGTTTTTCCCACTCAAAAGTATGTACAAAGTATTTTGTACATGTTTCTTCAACTTTTATTTGAAACGATTAGAATCGATTATTGCCGAGATATCTTCGCGTTTTTATCGTGCCGCTGGTGTGTGTATTTTCTCCAATACCAGTCGGAAAAAACAATGAAATTAAACACAAGCAAATTTGCTTATCCCTGCATGCAAAAAATGTCCCGGAAATCATTTAGAAGTCACAACAAAGCGATTGAAATTATCGGGGTTGATATCACTTTTTCACCGCGGAAGTTGCATCCTTCGGGAAGAAATGAACCACGCTCGCGATAGTTTCAAACGTGACCAAACAGCGTATATAGCGTAACTTCTAATAATCGTGGAAGTCACTTGCTCGGCAGTTATTGGAAGTGAAAATTTATACTAATTTTCTGAAATACTCACACATATCCGGCGTCAGCAGATAGTTCATTTTTTTGTCAAGACATATTTGTCGTTTTATCCGACAAGTTTCCGAGTACTCTGCACATACTCTATTGAAATAGTTTGAAGAATTTTCTATATACTACGTTTGTTGTTTTGATTTGTTGCTTATCATCAGTTTTTCCTCAGCATTTGAACGGAACAGGTGCGAAGTGAATTAAAGATTTATATCCTAACGTATAAAGCTATTTGATGGTTTGCATTATTTTTATTGGTCTTAACAAACGGATAAAAATTTTTGTTTCTTATATTTTAAATAGTATATTATGCAAAACAAAAGACTGAATAAAAGTGAAGTATTAAATTGAAAAAAGAAATAAACAAAAACAATTACTTAAAAGCGGAAATCGAATTTTCCCGATATTCATATAGAAATATATAAAAAACTCAGACTTTTTCTGAATTTCGGATCAAACATTTACAAATTTTCATGATCAAACATTCCACACTTCCGAATTTAAAATTGATTAATCGAATTTGTCCCGATTTTCGGGTAAAACTATAGAACAAATTCAGAGTTTTCTCCGAACTTCAGATCAAACATCCGAAACTTTTGGGAATTTCGTATCAAACATACAAATATATTCGAGTTCGTTCCGAATTCGACATCAGAAATTTGTGCAGAGTTTTTTCCGAATTCGGAAGAA